TCAAATGTAGACACGGGAGTCTTCTCGAATTTCAAAAACAAAATCAAATTTCGCCTCATAACGTAACGAAAAGCTATCACTTGTCAACCCCAATGTAATGAATGAACTGTAACCCATCCAGGTCTCAACACCAAGGAGTGGCACGACAAGGTTCGTTACTACTTATATTGCATTGCTATTGTAAATTCTGATCTACAGCTTTATTTTCTTTTAAGAAAACAAATTTTGAACTATTACTATAGAGAAATCAAATTCAGAAGATCATAAAGGTGTATATATTTTCTGTATTCTCATCGAAAGAAATCTCTGAGTTTGGGACCAGTCGTTACAGGCTTTTTAAGTTTTTCTGAAATGCAACCAAATTCAAATTAAAACTCATGTTGAGGAAATCAAACTTGGAAGGTTTCCACTATTTATTGCGTCAATATAAAACAAAATAAGCTGATGCTTTTGCAGTGCAAACTATTGAACCCCATAAATTTAAGAACGAGATGGCCATTTCTCCTTAGGAAGGACTCATGTCCGTGCTAGGTAGGAATTTCGGGTTTAAGTCATTTCATTAAAAATTACTATAGTCGAGGAGATGCATACTTAAGTATCCTAATATTTATATGTCTTTGTTTGTTTAATATCTTTGTTATGAATTTTTGCATTCTTTAGGTGTTGATTAATTGCAGGTCAATGTTTAGTAAATAAAGTTTTTACTATTTTCCCGGAAGCTTCAGCCTCTGTCTCACGCAACTCGCAGTTTGTTTTTTCCATGAAATTTTTTGTTTATTTTAATTTGCAGCTTCCAATAGTCACTATTGCATAAACACTTCCATTTCTAGAAACCACGATCTTCTGCCTTGATGATTATAAGCCAAGACAAGCTTGGTTAATGATTGCCAGCACATGGATACACAATCATAAGCACCCAGTATACTAGATATAATTTAAAGTTTTACTTCAACAAGGAAAAGAACCGGAAACAAACGGCAGACGCGACAACGCAAACAAATTGGAATGCACTCATAGCACATATAATAGTGCCCAGAATTTCCTTGTGATATAAGCTCTTTGTTAACAGAGTTCAGTATTCAGTTAGCGAAGCCTTTGTGTAGTCGCAACGCTGTGCCGTTAACAGAAGTTTGAAAGAATTACTGCATTTCATAATGCAATTCCACGTTTACTTATAAAGCCAGTAATGCACCTGCTTAATTTTGAATCTCATCTGAATATTATGGACGATCAATACCAAACAAAAATCGAAACTGAAATAAAATTTTGAAAGTGTAGGTATTTTTTAAGCATTTGATCCAATTATACAGAAAGTAAGTTGAAAACTTTTCATCGTCTCGGCCACGTTTATATTCGCGTTGTCTACCTGGGCATGCCTCCACAAGGCCTACAAAACCGACATGACAGAAAATCAATATAAGCCTGCTTACCTGCTCATCTCCCCGGCTGTCAAGTACGAAGTTTTGTTTATTCCTTTGTGAAATAATTACCTCTACGGGAACAATAAAACATTGGCCAGAAACTCAGTTCGCGTTTAATTGGCGTGATCGAATTTTTTTTTCCGAAATGAAATTTAGCAGACACGCCATATCAATGTCTTTATGATTGCAGCTATTTCAGTGTAATTACTGTAATGCACTGCAGATGATGACAAAATTAATATATACGTATATCATTTTTTACATGAAACAGGATCCAGAAGTTTCTCGTTATATCATGTCATCTCAAAGAGGAGAACTCTATTTGCCTTTCCGGATTCGGTCGCTTTGATGTAGGTACATAAAACCGTTAAAGAAATGTATATTAATGCCAGCATTTTCATCGGATCACCTACTATGGGCACAGAAAGATAATTGAACAAAATCAATCAAGCACAACCTTCTTTCTAGTTAGGATAAGAAAAGTAAGTTGTAAGTCGACAGTGTAGTAACAAGTAGAGTAACAACCAGCAACCCTTTCACACGGTTATAAATTTAATCAAAGGGGTAAGAGGAAAAATCCTTTTGTGTACAACGCTTTCATCCGTTTCCTGTCTCTACGTCAAAAAAGGAGAAAATAAATGTACCTAATGTCAATTTAGAAGGCACATATATCTACTGAAAATTTTGATGTTCTTGACTAAGTGCTGTGTTGTAACAGAGGTTGCATTTAGGGATGGGGGACCCTGATCGTTTTATTTAATGTTGACTGTATACGGTATTGTTAGGCTTTTGCCAAAAACATATCCACGGCTAGCTCAACTTTGCTTACCTCAATACAATCTTCTTAGTGAAATGGACTTATTTATTTCCAACCTGAAAATTCAAAATGATCTCTTCCGCCCTCGACCACCTTGAGAACCACCAGAGAATCAGTTTCATTGAAATATCCAGTACCTACCAATTTGTACTGTTTATACTATGTTTGCTATGTTAAACAACACCCTTAAATAAATAATGGAGAATTACGGATAACCGCGGCTGTAGTGTCTTCTGATTGTTAGAGTTGGCAGTACGGGGGTGACAATAAAAACATTGCGGGATAAACTACCATGTTGTTAGGCTAACAATGTTGTTAAGGCATGTGATTGGATGATTTTCCAAGGAATGATGTTAATCTTTGAAAAGACATGCATTTTAATAACATTGTTAGCCTGAAAACATAGTTAACTATGCTTTATACAACCGGACGAATATTTGTTTTTTTATGGCTTACTGATCCTATCATAGCACATTTTATATCTGTGATACGCGGACATAAAAGTACCACTTTATGCCCTAGGGCATTAAGTATCACCATAGTAACTCATTTATACTTAATGACAAAACAAACAAATATTTGCAGGTCATTGAAAATTAAAAACGGCAATTATTAATGGTCAATAGGTACCTATACTAAATCACAAGATTGGCCTTATTTCGAATAGTTTCTGAAACTTCTTCCCTTATTCAGGATGTATTGAATTATTTAAAATTACGTTTGACGTTTACGATTTACGCGACTTTGTATCTTCTACTATTAGATGCCCATACTAAACATCGGGAAAAACTCACCCTGCATTAACACACTTCCAGTACTGATTATTGAACTTGAAATAGAAACTGTTTTAACGTTCTTCTAATCGAGTTCATACGCAAATTTTAGTTACAACAGAAAAATCCTTTTGAGCGTTTCCATCTAAACTTTAAAATTCAAATTTCTTGAAAGACGCAGTCCGTAAAGAACACAAATACAAAAATTTACACTTTACCTTATTTATACGGCGTCTAAATCTACTCCTTGAGCAGTTCAACCTCGGAAAACTGGATTACCCTCTATTTAGAATTCGTGGAATTGAACCAAAAATTGCTAACATTAAACTCTGGCTCGTAGATGCTGTTTGCAAAATCCCAAGAAATACTCGATGTTGCGCAATCCAAATGAGATAAAAAGTTAGCATTGCACATGCGTTAAACCAAATTTTTGACACTGTGCATGCGAAAAACCAAAAAATATCAGTATACACGGGATTCTTGGACTAAGCCCTTTCAAATGAGCCCCATATCGCCCAAATCGGTTCAGTGGTCTAGAAGGAGTACGTGTGACGGCCGGAAGGACGGACAGATGACAGTGCAGCCAATAGCGATTTTTCATTTTGAGGAAAATACGCTAAAAACGATCAATCGAATCAAGTTCAAAACACATTTATTTTGAATCGATTTAAGATTTTTGGCTGCATATCGTGTCCACCATGATAATGGTGTTTTTACACGATCAATCACACATAACTTATTTTGAATAAATTAAACCTCGAATGCATTCAATGTTTTTGTAATATGTACTCTCCTATTAATGGTATGTTGAACTAAGGCTATTAAATATAACACGACTGCTCATGAAAAAGAGTTAATTTTAAAAATTATTGACGATAGTATGCTCCCCTTCAATATATACTCCCCTCCCCTTGCTACACACCGTTCCGTTCATTTTTTCCACCGCTGAAAGCAATGCTGGAAGTCTTCTTTTGTAAGAGCGTTTAGGAGCTCTGCCGGTTTTCCCTTCACGTCGCCCATCGACCAAAACTGGGTTCCTTTTACGGCAGGCTTAATCTTTGAAAACAGGAAAGAGTCACAAGTGATGATGTGTTCAAGTCGGCCTGACCGTTGATTATCTTTGGTGCTCTCTCGGTCTTCAGAAAATCATTTATACCACTCGAAAACACGCGCAACAGATAGAGAACTCTCACCATAGGCCTCTTTCAACAGCTTATAGCACTCAGTCGGAGTTTTTTTTTAATTTAATGAGAAATTTGATATTGATGCGTTGCTCGTGTTTTTCGTCACGCATTGTAATCCGCACGAGAAAAAAACGCGTTCGTTAGTAACCCCTATAGAAAAAATACTACCACAGTGACCAAAGCGAGTTTTCGTACTGATACTGAAATAGTAGACTGTACACTTTCAGCTAGCCAAGCCTGCATTTGTTTCTCCCACTAACCCTCTCAACGCCTTCTGCGAGTGCAGTCTCATTATTTAATAGCATCTCTTTGTGAGTGTAGCAATCGGGAGCCGCCAAAGTGAAATACTTGCTATAACAGATCCTTTGAAACTTAGAAAGATAACACATAAACAGGTGCTCAAGTAGGTACCTACTACAAATGAGTTTGAAACTTCTGAACGTTCGGAGCAGGGAATATACCATAAAATTAGTATAAAAGTCCCTATATTTTATACACTCCCTCACAATCCTGCCAGTTGGGCACACAAGTACATTGCAGAACCCACTGTCTCTGTTAAATATTATTAACTTATGATCATGTCATCTCACAAGATCGACAAGGCGTATTGCCAACATTTACCACTGAAACAGGTCTTACCGAAATTTCACATCATTAGCATTTTTCGGTAAGTAGATGGGCTGACGAAAATTAAGCGTACACAATAGTTACTTTTCCATTTGGGATAATTTAGGGACCTACTAAAAATAGTACAAGTAATAACAGTAACAAATTTATTCATTTATAGGTAATAAGAAATAATACAGCAAGGTAAACTCATTTTCAATAAATAATTTTGTACAAATAATTTTAAAATGCTTTACGTAAAGAGATTGAGCGTAAATATTTGTTGATAGTCTATATTTTACTACACATACGCTAAAAAATCATTAGATAAATTCATCACTAATACCTAATTACTAAATGATTGAAATTAAACACTTCACTGTGGAAGTCTATTCGATACACTAAACTTCGGGAAACATAAACCAAATTTAGATTCAATTCCTGAGAAGATAGGCACGGCAACTGAGTATCCTCCAATATGGTCTGGATTTGTAGGTTTCTTTGCAGCTAAGCCTACCGCTGGGATGGTTAGCTCTGAACCAGCTGGTCTCCTAGAATCATATAGTTTAAGTCCCCATAGAAAAAATTGTTTTATACTTACGTTCCTCCAAAATCAACATAGAATAACCTTTGCAGAACTTCGTATGTCAGTAAAGTAACGCCAAACTGAGGTGATGATCGACAAACTCGAGCTGCAGAGAATAATAAAAATTCGGTTAGAAAAATTTGGCTCTTCCTTATATAGCTTGCCCACATCCTCAGTTTTAAGCAAAAACGTTGCATAAAAAATCACTAATTAGATGTATCGTCCAGTTCTGGTTGCAGGAACTTGTGCAAAAATAAACATTTTTGCTTAAATGACTATTTATTGATGAATATGGATAGTCTGTAATTGATTTGATTCTTGTGTCTTTTACATAGAAAACATTGTAACATTCCAGAAAAGTTGTTGACTGCTTTTGCATCTCAGCATACAGAGGACAAATGATTTAGAATAGGTATACACAAAATGTAAAGCCAACTCCCAGATTGCCACTTACTCATAGTGAAATAGGCAAATGAGGTTTCTGCCTTAAAAAACAAGTCTATCATGCAAACACAGTGAAAAAGTCAGAGTTCCAGGTTCGGTTAATTTTTTTTGAATATCACCAAATTATGATAATTCATACTGCCTTCCTACAAATATTGATTTTCCATATGTTACTAGAAATTAAATCATTTGGAAATAACAAGACGTCAGGATAATCCAAGAATTCTATAGAAACTGCCCACCACACTTGCAACATTAGGTGTGACTGATAAAGTAACTGCAGTAAATGAATGAAAAATGGTACATACCGACCGTGCCTTTCCAGAATGCTTTGGGCCCTTCTTCTGCCATAATCTTCCTAGCTGCGTCAAATACGCCCGAATATGTAGTCTGGCCCGTTCGGGCTACAACCTGTAATCTAGTTTTTATAACGTCGGCGGGCGTAACTAAGGATGCTGCCGGAATACCAGCAATTGCACCCGCCAAAAGTAACGTTAGCGGGTGATTGTAACCATTTTCGTCTGCCAATTTTGCTTTCGTATGTGCGTAAGCGGGGAAATAAATAGCGCTAAAAGGAACATCTCTTAATAAACAAGCTTTAGCACCTTTGTATAAACCAAAAAGTCCTAGATCTTTCACAACAGCCCACGCTCTAACTTTCTCACCACCCGCAATTTCTCCTGCGACTTGCAGACGAATTTTTACTATTTCTAATGGATTGGTGAACACAACCTGAGACCCTCCGGCCTGGAAATAGTAAAATTAGCAAAATAGTAGTAAAATTGAATGCTACACGTACGCATGCGCCCGCAATTATTTCACCATGGAACGCTATATTTCCCTTTTTGTCTACAAACTTATCTCGTACTAAATCGTTTACCTGAAACAGTTCGTGCAAAACACCCCCACTGGTCTATGTAAAAACCTTACAGTCAATTTAATAGCTTTTTCGGGAGCTACACCCATTAATTGTGGCACTAAACCACGATATAAACCTAGCACACCTTCATGGCGAATAACTTTTTTGAAACAATCGATACTATTTCTGTACATCAACTCCCCAATGAAGGACCCAGACCTCTGGTTTTGCATTCTCGTTTTAACTAAATCTATTGGATAAACGGCAGTTGCTCCTACCGCTGAAACATATTTTCTTTTAATTCAATTGTCCAACAAAAACCAATCAAATACCTCCTGCAATGGAGCCTAAAGCGAAACGATATACGCTTTCCAAAATTGAAATGAACACGCTTCTATCTTCAGGTCTCTAAAATTTTGATAAAATTACTTGAACAACGCACAATTTTCCAAAACATACAGAAACTGCCTTCAATTCTGCTAATCTCATGGTAATTTGTTTAAAGTATTGTTCCGGAGCTATCGAGTACAAATCACTGTATATTATCCGCCTATAAACAAATATTAAAATTAGTAAATCAAAGATAAAAAAAGGAAAAAGGATAACCAACCCATTCCAAGCTCCCTCCTTAGACAAAAGTCTTTAGAAAGCCGCGTGTACAAAGGTTAATAAGTATTTGCTTATTAATGAACTGCATTTTCTTAATAGTTCATTGAACACTACAATGATCAAGAAAATGCCTTACATAAACTAGCAGTTGCTAAAGAAAAATGTCGCGTTCATAGCACCAAATTAGCAAACTACTGTATGGACATTAGGGACGCAACTACTTGTTCGGTTTCCAAGATGATGAATTGACATTTAAACAATGATGATCAGTACGAAAGCGACACATTTCCCTGAGCAATAATTTAGAACAGTGTATTACCCTGTTTGATGTAAAATATCACATAATTGAAACAAAATATCAACTTCCAACGGCGTCATCTGCGACATCGCTTGTGCTGAATGCATAAATTCTTCTTTAGAAACTTCTTGTTGGCGATTCCCAAAGGTGACGTTTAAATAAATTCGTTTAACCAGTTCCATGTTATTGAGTAGAGAATTAAAAGCTATAAAATATGGGAAGCTAATCCGTCTACCACCCTCTCCTCCAGATGCTACCTAAAAATATACGACTGGTTTAAAATTTCAGAATGGAGATGATTCAATACCTCAACAAGATGCGATTGAACTTGTGGTGTCAGCAGGTGACTCTTAATGCTAAGCATAATATCATGAAAATCTGTTACAGAAATAAAACCACTACCAGCTGCATCTACCCGTCTAAATCCCTCAATAGCATACTCTTCATGAAAATCGTGTAAAAATTGACTGAATTCGTTATAACTTATTACTCGTTCTTTATTTCTGCCAAAGTACAACTCGACGAATGGCGACTTCATATTGAATGGTATTCTTTTGTTCAGTTCGGTTTTGGCCATCACCTCCACAAACTCAGCTAGGATTACAATTAATATTGGATAGTATAAGACAAACCGCGCACATACCAAAACTAACCATTCCGTTTCCGTTCGTGTCGAAAAGTTGAAAAGCTGTTTTATAAAGGGCATCTGGATAACACAATAATCCTTCAAACGCTTGAAATTCTGTGTAAGATATAAGTCCATCTTTGTTCGTATCCAAAATAGCAGCCAGTAGTTTAACTGATTCAGCATTATAATTATCGGAGGGAAAAAGGCCAATATATTTCCTAAGAAAATCATCGGAAGTCATGAACCTTTCCCCATTCTTTTCTATAGATGCGTATCGATCGAACACTTCATGAAGCTGGGTAGGATTGGCTCGTTTGAGGTGACCACCACCCTGTAATTTCAAAAGAAATTATTTTAGAACTAAATAGATACTGTTGTATGTAAAACTGTAAGTAATTAAGATCCCTTTAGTTAGTTGATTGTCGAACGTCTGCGTGCGTGGTATGTGTCAACACACGCTGTTTTTCTTCCAGCGTTATTTTTTAATGTTTTTTGTTTGCCAAATAAATTTGTGTTATTGTCAATTTATTAGATGTGTCTTTAATCGAACCCATTGTACTACCCAGATAGTTTTCATGTTAGATTTTTTAAATCAAATTTTTGGGAATTGTCGAAAGTTGATCGAGGCCACTGTGTCTCCGAAAGTTAATAAAATTCAAGTCAGTATTGGGATGAAAGCCGGATGCGTACGAGGAAAATAATAAAATTGAACTTTGGTTGGTTTTGAGCTACATAGTAATTTTCTAAATATCGTTATTTGATATTTCTTCGCTGTATCTGTTACTTTCTTACTTGTGGCTCGCGGCCGGACGGTACGAGAAAGAGAGGTTCTTTAATTTGATGTTTCTGTGCATGAGTCGTTCAACTGTTTCGGTGGGGTAAGTAACATTTCCTCCATTTAAGATATTGTTTACTTGGGCGATAATGGACTTTGACATGAATACTTACTATTGGCACATGTACATACTTTCCGTGTTAAATTAATAGAAGTTAATGCTTGTAGTAGAGCAACGATTTTGATGTTTTTTTTTTTGTACATGCAATTTATCATTTTACGAGGTATACATGTGTTTTTGTATTAAATTGATTTATCATGTTTTCCACTGTGTGGTGTCTTGTGTGTGTTTTTTTATGAATTTGTTTAACTGTATTTGATTCAATTCGATTTTATTCGATTTATTTCCTAGACCCTAGATGCGTAACGAAAATAGTAGATGTGCAAATAATTAAAAAAATTGTGGTTATTCGGAATGAAATTTTTTTCCTAAGCCCCACCTACGAGAATAAGTACCACTATCGCAACGTAATCCTAGACTACATTATGAAAAAAAGATTTAAAAAAACAAAGCACTTTTCTAAACATAACGAAGCATGTTGCCAAGTAGGTCAAATTATCTCAAAATGAACAGGAAGCGAACCTACAACAACGATTATTTATCTCAAGTATAATATCAACTCAAAATAAATTTGACCGTTGTCAATATTATTTATAAGTGATTATCTAAAGGTTGTCATTTTTGATAACCGAATTACAACATTTGTTAATCTCTTACAAGTATATTATGAGATTTTATAGTTTTAAATCAGTTAGGTACTGATTCTAAATGAAGCTGTGTTTAAAACATTTTGAGTTCTCGAATTTTTTTACAAATTTCAAATACGCAACCCTATATTGGATAATATAATAGGTACCATTTTTATATTAATAGTGAAAGTTAAGTGACTTCAAACAACTTCTAGACAAAGTTTAAACCGGGTATGGCATACATTTTCTTAAAATTTTAACTTGCAATTTCAATTATTAAGAAGGGAAACCTTCTTTATAAAACCATACTTTCTGTCTTCGAATGCGGAGAAAGATCTTTGAAATTGTATTCTGCAAAGGATTGCTTGAGGTTGGACGACTAGATTAGTTCATAAATGAACAAAATCCGATTGACCAAACAATTTCAAAATCATTATTTGTGCAACAAAATGTCGAAATTCACTTACAACATCTGTTTCGTCATCGAAGACTATCGAGAAGATTTTTGGTATAGGTATATCACGTCAATTTTGACAAAAAGAACCGTAAACTTGGGCGAATTAAATCAAGGTCCAAAAATTGAACATTTTCGATCAGGTACCGCAATGCCTCAAAATCGCGTGTGTAGGACTTTAATTGGGAGAACAAGCGCAGGGCAGGAGCACGTGCCTAAATTACTTTTTGTCTGTGGTTCGTTTTTTGCGCATTTTCAAAAATTAAACAGAAAAATGGTTAGGTGTCTAACATTTTTTGTAACATACAGAGTGATCAACGAGAAGAGTCGGTTTTACGATGTCTTCAAATGACATCAAATGTTAAGATTTTCAAAAATGCTTCGTTGAACTTATACAGTGCTATTTATTAAGAAGTAGAGATAGGGATTTACGCTCGGATTTACGTGTATTGTTTTTCCCTGGCTCCATTGAAGCGTTTTTAAGGATTTGGATTTGCCGAGGGATTTGCATATAAACCGAGATATAAACAGTACGAGGTATGTTAGATGATTACGCAGCATTTTTCTTAATAAGTTTTTTCAAGGCTGTACATTCCTTCAACCCTCAAGTTGTTTACCTTTCCTTCACAATTTTCTTTTAAGTTTTCATCGTTCTTTCTGTTGGATTAACCTTTACATTTGCTTTATTTTTGCTAGTGTACAAGAACACTAGCAAAATTAAAGCAAACGGGAAAAGTCGGAGTGAATATCGGGATACAAGAACTTCGATATTCCCCCCGACTCACCTTCTACTTTTCCTGATCTTGCCGTGTCCTTATGTCAAGGTAATTTGCCCAAAGTGAACGTAACAACACGATTCCTTAGTTTACCCTACCTTAATCCTTAATGTACGTCTACCGAGCCATGTAATTAACTGTAGGACGGGGCTACAAACTTGGTGGGTTTCGCGACATCTGGGCCACCTACTAACGTGGTGATTTTTCAATTTTTTTCAAATCTTGTACAGTTTTGGTTCGATTGTTTTCAAACTGGTGCCGTCGGAAAGATCTTGTAAACGCGCTCAATTCAACAATCTGTCTGCCGGAATTTTGTTTTTTTTCCTACGGCTGAAACATTTTGCCAGGCGCGCGTTGTCGAGGTGTAATCCACTTCGGGCACCCAAAAGTTACTTTCCGCTGCAAATATTAAGAAAATGGCCACCTCTATTTTTCGTGCCCCCAATAGAAGCTTGAACTATGCAAAGCACTCCAAATTGAGTACTATTTTGTGGAGGGTTTTTAGCGAAATCCATCAAAATGGCGCATTTATGTGACCGTGGGGGCGTCAGAAGTGGGTAATGACAAAGGGAATGTGGTAACCCCGGAGAAGATGTGACTGATAGTGGAGTCAAAACTTCAAACGCGATTTACGAACGAACGGACCGTCGGAAGTAGATGCCGACAAAAGGAATGTGGTGGCCTTCGACAAAATCTTATTGATGGTGGAGTTAAAACTGACTAATTGAATCCTGATCTGCCACACAAATATGCGCTGAAGTCCCTTCGGTCTCACACGAGGACTTGGATAATTTGTTTTCCCTTAAAATCTTTAACTTTGCCTTATAAGGAAAAATTTGCTGCATTAGGATTTGGGGTGGATTACATTGTATGCTCGGTTGTATGGTAGGGTTTACGGTAGGGTAGAGTAAGGAATCGTATTTGCATTTTCTCTTATTGTAGGATAGATTAAGGGATGATATTTCGTTTTTGCTTAAATTCTGTCTCAATATTTTGTTACATGATTTGCACATTTGCTCATATTTATTACTGAACGATATACTTAGGGGTTGATTTCAAGTGTTCAAGTGGTGAACAACTTATTTTAACAAACAGCTACAACGCCTACACACAGTAACCCAGTGACAACTCATATGGGCCAGGAAAGCAAACTACAGACGGAGCGAAATTTGCCATTTTTTTAATTACCTACCTTTTAATTAATATCTTAAAACTTTTCATAAATGAGTAAAATCATATGCTTTTGGTTCATTTTCTAATTGGAAAACCCTAAGACACCAAATTTTGCCCATACCGCCCTTTTTTGACATTACCACCGATGGGCACTCGTATTAATATTGTATTCACACAGATCATTCTTCTTCACATAGGATTAGGTACGCGTTTTACTTATGTTTTCAGATATGGTGTGATATCTTGGATGAGTTGAGTAGCGTCATTTTTGGATTTCCATTTACTCAAAGTAAATGCCCGGTAAAATATTTAAATTAATGCCAACAACAATTAATAACCTCCACTTAATCAACTTACACGGTCAACTTTAATAAATAAACAAAAAGATACCCACTAATCATTAAACCCTGTATCTAAACAGCCTTTTGCCTTGCTTGGGCACATAATGTTGAAAAGGCAATATCTATAAAGGTAGATAAATGAGTGGAAAAAATTTGAAGAACGAACGATCGGTCCGCAATAGCTGCTTTTTAACTAAGAACATGCTACAAAATTCATACTTACACAATTTTGATTAAAACGGTCCTGAATACCATATTTTTACCTAAGTGTGTTATGTAGGGACCTATTACTTCTGGCAAAGTTTTTCCTAAAGCAATTGCTTTAATTAAACCCATCAAAAGTTTGGACAATTCACAATTTTGGATTTCTCATCATCAAACAAAAACTATTATTTAAGGAATAATTGCCAATTAAACCGAATTTTTTGTCAATTCCATTTCATAATTTGGTGTTGGTTGTGTTTTTACCTCGAAAGCAGTAGTTAATTTTTCATAGATAGAATGTAATTTGATTCGCAAAATATAAAAGTACCTACTTATATCAGCTCTTACCTACTAAAAGTTGAAAGTATAGACATCCTAGACTTCAAAGTCATGAAACACACTGACCAAATTGTCCGGAAATTAAACTAATTCACCTGACCTAGCTTGACAATGACCAGAAATAAAAATAAATGCCCGACGTATGACCGCCAAATGTTTTCTCATTAAATGCAGACAGTTTCCCCAAAGAAAAAACATACGTTGGAAGACTTCCTTTTTGAGGGTTTCCACAGCTCCATTTTTTATATAGGTGCCGATCAACTATGAACAAATTTGAAAAAGTCAAAGGCAAGGGCGAAACCTCCAGTATACTACTAAAGCATCGCTAGTTAGGTCGTTAGAAAGAAATTAAGATCTTGAGTATACCTAATTAGACATTTCAATTGCAAAACGGCAAATGTAGAGTAATTATGTAACTTTTTTCTATGAGAATTGTGTATCTTTTTGCATACCCGACAATTTTCTCGCTTACTTTTTACTTAAGTATGTAAGATTTAAGTAGGTACCTGTTCACTGCTG